AAAAAAGGAAAACACTAACAAACAGATAGAAGGGTCACAAACATATCATCTATAGTATCTTTGAATTTTATCTGAGCATTTCATGAAAGTATAAATGGAAACTATGCATAAGGATAAGTATATTGTGCACTAAAACATTTTGTATTGTGTATCACCATGGAGTGCCTAAGGATAGGGAACCTAAGGAGAAGCCAGTGTCAGTAGTGGGGTGGGAGGAGTTGTGTGCTTGTGTGTGTGTACATATGTGTGTGTATGTGCATACACACATGCCAGAGTTTTGTCATGTTCGGGGAAGAAAACACTCATATGCAATAAGCAAAAGCAAAAAACAAAACTTATTAAACATAGAGCCAGAATGGAGACTTCAAGTGACTACAGTGTAATGCATAGTAAACCCACACTGCCTGACATATATTAGCACTTTAAGAAGGAACAATGTGTCAAGCAAATGTATCAAACAGAGAATTCTTGTGAGTCAAAGGACATCTTTGCTCCTCATGAAATGACAGACCCATAGGAGTTGAAAGTAATCCTTTACATAGCATGCATTTAAAGTGTAAAAAGATTTTAAAATCATAATAAGAAAAATCTGATTATGATAGATATAATACTGTTAAAACAATCTGTAACAAAATGTCTCTGAATGTCACACTCAGGTCTGTCAGAAATAAGAAATCACCAATGAGGAACAATACAGTAACAACATTCATTCTACTGGGACTGACAGAAAACCAACAACTGCAGGTTCCGATTTTTATCTTTCTCTTTCTCACCTACATGCTGAGCATAACTGGAAACATGACTATCATCTCCCTCATCTTAGTGGATTCTCACCTTAAAACAGCCATGTACTATTTCCTACAAAATTTCGCTTTCTTGGAGATCTCTTTCACTTCTGCTTGTATTCCCAGATACTTGTATAACATTGCAACAGGGGATAGGATGATTACTTATAATGCCTGTGCCAGCCAAGTATTTTTTACTGATCTTTTTGGTGTAACCGAATTTTTTCTCCTGGCCGCCATGTCCTATGACCGCTATGTGGCCATCTGCAAACCCCTGCATTATGTGACCATTATGAGTAACACAGTCTGCAGAAGACTTGTCTTTTGTTGTTGCGTAGCTGGTCTGTTTATTATAATCCCCCCACTTAGCCTAGGCCTAAATCTGGAATTTTGTGATTCTAATACCATTGATCATTTTATCTGTGATGCATCTCCTCTCTTGAAGATCTCTTGTTCAAATACTTGGTTCATGGAACAGACTGTTATCATCTGTGCAGTGCTGACCCTCATTATGACACTTATGTGTGTAGTTCTGTCCTACATTTATATCATCAAGACAATTTTAGGATTCTCTTCTGCCCAGCAAAAGAAAAAAGCCTTTTCCACCTGTTCTTCCCACATAATTGTGGTTTCCATCACCTATGGCAGCTGCATCTTCATCTATATCAAACCCTCTGCAAAGGAAGAAGTGGCCATTAACAAGGGTGTGACAGTCCTCACTACTTCCATCGCCCCCATGCTGAACCCCTTCATTTACACACTGAGAAACAAGCAAGTCAGACAAGCCTTCAGTGACTCAATCAAAAGAATCAGAATTTTTTCCAAGAAATAAGGGACTGTGAAGTCCAATAAACATATATAGTGAACTTCCCAAATTCCTTAGTCAGGTTAACTTTTTCAAAACACTCTCGTTCATCCTGATCTAGTGACATCTTCCCCACAAACCTCTTCTAAGATCACATCCTTCCATAACAGCCATGTGAAAATGGCTTTTGAAAATTAAAATACTGACTTCATTTTCAAATTAGAAATGCCAAAAAATAAAA